GTCCTCACTGGGATGGGGGGTCCTTCCTGTCTGGGCTGGGGGGTCCTGTCTGGGATGGGGGGTCCTTACTGTCTGGGCTGGGGGGGTCCTCACTGTCTGGGCTGGAGGGTCCTCACTGTCTGGGCTGGACTAGGCTCTGCCTGGTCAAAGCTGGTGACAATGTGGGGCGATGGCAGGGCTGAGGGAGGGTCCCAGGTGACAGTGAGGAAACAGCTTCCGCGAAACTCAGGCAGCCCTGGGACAGAGGGTGGGTGTGGGAGGGGTCTCCTGGTGGGCCACCTTCCTTGAGAGCCACCCCTGTTACCAACGGCAACAGAAATCACACTCCCGTTGCCTTGGTGCCCACCCTGCCCTGGCACAGGGCTGCTGTGAGCATCACGCCCCACCCATGTGCCACATCTGCTGGGGAGTACCCCACACCTCCAGTGGAGCACCCCACACCTCCAGCACAACCAAGAGGGTAGCGAGGAGAGGGACCAGGTGGGTGGTGGAGGGGGTGCTGTCATCCAAGGTGGCGTCACCAGTGCTGGGGACTGAGAGCCTGGGAAGGGCCTCAAGGGCCACCTCACAGAACCCACCTGGAAGGAGCAAGGCCACATATTTGGGTGCCCCCTGGACTAGGGAGGCCAGGCGCACACGGGCAGCAGGGCTGAGGCCAGAGTGCCCGGTAGGTTCCCCAGCCCAGGGGGCCTTGTCTTCTGGGCCCAGCCCCACCCTGTTCCCCTTGGCCCCAGGTGCTGGCTCACCAGGATGTAGAGGGCGCCCTCCGAGCTCTTCTCGTACTCCTTGATGGTGGAGAAGACGGACAGCACCAGGCAGGAGAAGACCAGCAAGAACCTGGAGGACACAAAGAGCCGCAGGCCAGAGCCCACAGCGGGAAGAGTGAGGGACGGGACCCACGACCCCCTCTGCCTCCTGGGCCCCTGCCGGAGGCCGCCACACCCGCTCCTCTTCCTGGGAGCCACAGGCTGCTCCGCCGGGGCACAGGCAGCTAACCAGAGGCACCGTCAGAAGCTCCTCCCAAGGAGGCAGCTCCTGCCGCACTGAGGCCGCTGAGGTGGCCACTCGCAATCGGAAAGGGACGTGTCCACATCCAGGGGGCGTATCCTCACCATGAACGTGCTCTGGTCACATGGCACAGAGAGAGGCTCTTCAGGCTCCCCTTGGCCACAGTGACCCTTGCTAACAGTGACGTGGAGGGACCAGAGCCCAGGGCACAGAGCCGCAGTCACAGCTGCATGTCAGCCTGTCTGGGTCGGATTCCCTCCACACAGCGTCCCTTTCCCAGGCCTGCCTGAAGCTCTGGCCACCCTCCTCTCCCCACTGGACAGAAGAAACCTCTGGCACCCTCCACCGTGGATCCGGGGGCTGGCCATAAGCTCCCTTGGCTGCAGGGAGTCTCTCCCAGCTCCACACACCCCATCATTCAAGCCACTGGTGCCAGGGAGGTGGAACATGCCACTAGACATCACCCTGTGCAGCACCCACCACCAGCCCCTCAACCAGCCTCTCCAGCCAGGGTGCAGGGTGCTCCTGGTACCAAGGCTGCCAGCCAGCACTGGCATCATCAGCCCCAGGACCTTTGCTCAAGTCAAGCCACATGAAAAGAGGCCCCATGACCCTAGGTTGCAGCCTGGGGCCTGGTGCAAGGCCCCAGGCACAGGCCTCCCCGAGGATGAAGCCACAGGGAGGTAGCAGTGGAGGGCAGAGAAGGGCCTCAACACTCCTGCCTTTAGAGAGCATCCAGCTGTGCCTGAGCCTGGACTTCAGACTAGGGAAGCCTGCAACTTCATGCCCTTGGACATGGTTTCTGCCCCTTGCAGAAAGAAGACCAGAGCTCTCCAGGATGTGAAGGCCGAGGCATGGAGGGTCCTGCTGACCTCGTCCCTCACCACCGTGATGCTGAGCTCTCTTCATCCCTGTAGGCAAGCCACGCTGCAGGCGGCCCAGCAGCCTTGGGTCGGTGGGAACAAGTCCTGGGTGTGTGGAGCCTTTGGGCACACAGGCTGAAGGCCAGTGTTTGGTTACCTCACCTGACCTGCTCTTCTCCTTCTCTGGGAAGAAGGCGCCCTGGGGGCTGATCTCAGCCCAGTGCCATGCTCACCTAGCACACGAGGGGCCCTGGCTTCATCCCAGGACCACCAATAAAGAAAAGAAAGCCCTTGAAGCACCCCGGGAGCTGGCCCATGGGTGTCTCAGGAGACCTGGGGTCAGCCCAAACCCCAAAGCTGGGCTCCCTGCCCAGGAGACTGCTGGGCCCTGCTGCAGCAGAGGTGGACGGGCAGTACAGACCCAGGGGTGTCAGCCATGCAGCCCGGCCCCAGCCCAGCCTCTGCATCCCCAGCCAAGCCTGGTCCACAGGGAAGGCAACCCAAGGAGGCCACTGGACAGTGCCACACACAGTAGGTGCCCGGGCCCGCCCTCCTGCACTGTGCCACCTGGCTGCCCCGCAACCCAGCAGGCAGCCCTGGGGCCCTCTGCCCACTTGCTCTCACAAGCCCACTGCCCTCTGTGCAAGCCCACCGTGTCCAGGCTGGTTGCCCATGCAGAGCACCAGTCCCTCGCCGTTCCCTCACCCCAGGGCCTGCACCATGTGGAGGGTCCTCAGCTCTGCTCAGAGTCACAGCTGAAGTGTCAATCACATTTGAAAGTACAGCGACTCCTAGGGCATGTTGACACGACACCCCAGTCACCATGAGAGGACACGGCCTCAGCCAGGGCCTGGGCCTGCCGCTGACTCAGCAGCTCAGGAGGGAACACCCCAGTCGGTGCTCTAGGACAGCTGCAGGCATGGAGGCCTCTTGCTAGGAGCGTCCAGCCCAGGTCTCCAGGCACACCGGCCTTCACCAACACCCACCGGCACACTGCTGTTCCACCCACACATGCTCCCAAGAGGAACAGCACAGCTGACTGGGGGGCAGGAGCCTCTGCCAGGCCAGCAGTGCGTGTACCCAAGGTGAACTGTGGGGATGGGGGCACTCAGGCAGAGTCCCTGCAGCCGAGGCCGAGGGGCCAGGGCTGCACAGGACGCGCAAAGCTCCAGAGCCGCATGCAGAAGCTGGAGGGGCCCTGAGGGCCACAGGGGAACTGCCCCTTGCCAGCTCCACTGCCTGCTCAGAGTGAGGGCCACTAGTCTCCCAGTGGGCCCCTGAGGACCCCCGTGGCCCAGCCTGAGCTTGGCCACAGGGACATGGGCTTCGGCCCGGGTCCAGCCCTGCCCGCTGGTTCCAGGGCAGGGGGAGCACGCCATCACCAAGCACTCTGAGACGCAGCCTGCTCCTGAAGCCCAAGGAAAGGCGCACCATCCTGACAGCACCTGTCCCCTGGGCTAACCCTGTCACACGCACTGGCCCTGAAACACAGCCACCGGAGCAGTCCCCTCCCCCAGGGCGTGGCCCCAAGGACAGCTCCTGGCAGAGGAGCGGGCAGCGGGCAGCAGAAGCACAGGCGGGGCCCTCTGGCACAGACAGCACACGCAAAGAAACGGCACATTTCAAAACTGCAATTAATTTCCTCTGCTCATTAGTCAATTGATTCAATTAACTGAGCCCTGAAAAACAAGTGCAGTCATCTCGTGTGCCTCCTCTGGCCACTGTGCCCGCCTGATGGTGTGATCTCCTGAGGGAGGACGGGGGCTCCTGGGCCTGAGCCAGGTCCCCAAGGCTGGGGCCCTGAAGGCACCCACCCCATCACAGAAAGGGCTCTGGGACCAGCTCAGCCCTGCAGACAGCACAGGGAACCAGGGAGACCTGGGCCCTGGGCCAGAAGCAGCAGGGGAGGAGGAGGAAGGGTGTCCCAGCAGAGAGAAGAGCAATGCCCAGGGGACGGGGAGGACAGGTATGTCCAGCATTCAGCAGAGGGGGATCTGGCCAGGCCTGGAAACAGGACAGGGCCCAGGACAGCCCGCAAACCGGATCCTGAGTCCACAGTGTCTCAGAACCGCATCACAGAGTCTAGCTCCTCACACGGAAAGATTCCTCTAAGTTAAAGCACAGGGGAGGCCTAGGCCTGCTCTCAGGGGGCTCTGGCTGGGCATCTCAGAACCTTCAGGAGACCCCAGAGACACGGGGCACCTTTGACACTGCCGTGACTTGTGGATCAGAGCCCTTCCAAGCAGCCTGGGACGCATGGAGCCAGCATGGAGCCGGCATGGAGCCGGGGTGCAGCAGCTCAGCCCCTGGAAGGCCCCTGTCCCAGTCGCCCAGGAGGAGAGCAGGGAGCACCTGGCCACCCCACGGAGGCGGTGGTGGGAGCCTCAAGCAGCCTGCCCAGAAGTGCCCACCGCGCTTCACGCTTTGTTTTTACGTTTTCTGAACAGACGGCACAGATGGCTCCGCGGGGGAGCTGGTGCAGGGGTGGCTGGCGGCGGGCACGCAGGGAAGTGCTCCCACGCACTCCTGGAGGCCCGGAAGAGGAAGGAGCATCCACTGCGCTTGCAGGGCCTCCTCCCCAGCTTGAGGCTTCCCAGGAGAGGCCCTGGCTGCCCGGGGCTCCAGGCCCAGATGAATGGGGAGATCACCCCAGGTGCAGCCAGGGCCCTTCCCTAGACTACGGCTCATCCCAGCCCGCATCCAGCCCATGTCCAGCTGAATGTGGGAGAAGCTCTCCGGGCCCCTTCCCACCTAAAGGTGTCTGGGTGACCAGGGCCAGCCAGCAGAGGCCTCGCCCCACACTCCCTGCTTTTCAGAGATGTAGGCTGAAGCTCTGAGGTGCCGGACTCTGCCACCTCCTGCCTCTGTCCCCGGGAGGGGTAAGAATGGGCTCCCCTCCTATGGCCCTAGGTCCCTGGAAGAGAGGCCTCAGTGATACGGGACCTGACAGGGTCCATCCCTGGAGCCCCCCGGGTGGGGAGGACTGGCCCAGCAGGACAGGGTGGGGTGACCACCCTGAGACCCAGCCCCACAGCACAAGGACAGCCAGGGGACAAGGCCCGTGCTGGCTCACGTGCAGGGCTGCTCTCAGTGCAGCACCCTTCCCTTCCCCAGGGAGAGCACAGAGACCTCAGGAGGTTCGGGGACCAGCGTGGGTGCCCCTGTGCTCAGAGCCTTCCAGAACCCCACAGTAGGCACTTCTGAGGGGACATCGGACTTGGGAGTTGGTGCTCCGCTCACTCAGGTGTGGCCAGGCAGCAGGACAGGAGCCAGCAAGGCCCACGGTCCAGCCAAGCCTGAGGGGACAGAAAGGAGCCGCCTCCCGCAGAGAATGGTGGGCTTCCCGACCCGTTATGGTTGACAGGTCCCACTCAATGCTTCCCTGGTAGCAGTCGCCAAGGAGACCAGCACTGCAAGCAACTGGTCCCTGGCCCCAGCCTCCCGGGCCCCAGATGGCCCTGGGCAGCCCCACTGACCCCTGGGGATCAGGCCACCCAGGACCCTCAAAACCAGGCACAAGAGGCCACGAGGGAGGCTTGGCCACAGCCCTTTGGGATCCAGAGCACATGGACCATCTTTCCCAGAGGAGAGGGAGGGCTCTGGACACAGCCTGAGCTCAGGGTGGGGTCCCCTCTTGACATGGCCTGAGTGCAAGGAGGCCCCAGCACAGAGCAGGGGACGCCCACCCCAGCCAGATGACAGCCGTGTGGGCAGCTTGCAGCAGGGACCAACAGTGCAGGACTGCAGGCGTGAGGGCAAGTGGGCCCCACCTGGTGAGGGACAGCCCCTCTTTTGTCCCCTCACCTCCCCCCACTGGTCTGCTGCAGCTGATGTTTCTGGGAAAACCAACAAAGCCACTGCCGCCTCATTCCGAGCCCTCTCCTTGGCAGGGCTTGGCTGGGAGACAGAGCCCGAGGCTGTTCCAGTGGCCCGCAGACACTGCCCAGACCCCCACTGAGAAAACTG